TGGGAGCAAAAGCATGCCCCATAGTTTTGGGGTTCCTCATCGAGCTTCCTGCTCTTGGTTGTATGGGTGGCCAGCCTGACCTGGACAGGCAGAGTAGGTTGTTCCTCAGCTTGTCTGAAGAGGGCAGAAAGGAAGCAATGAGGGGAGAAGTGGAGGCAAAAGCCCAGCAAGAAGCTTTGGAGGAGCCAGTGAAGGGATTGAATAGACTGACTGGCCTCCTGGGCTTCCTTACCTGCTCTGGGTAGCAAGGTGTCCCACTTGAGTGCTCAGGACAACAACTACGTGCCACTTCATTTATACCAACTCCTTGGCAGGCTTGACCTCTAAGATCTAGATTGAAATAAAGGCTTAATTTCTGTTTTCTATTTTGCCATATGTGATGAGCATTACAACAAACAAGGTTCTAGGCCATTTCAAAGAAATGGACGCTTCTAAGGAACAACTTTATCAGCCCACTTGTTGCTGATTTACAAAATACCACTGCTGGGATGATCCCCGTTCTTCTCTTAATGCCTTTTTATTTGAACAATGATGAGTAGAAGCAGTATTTACTTCCCTCAGCTCCAGTCTGAGGAATCACTGCCAGTTACTGGACCACCAGTGAAGTTCCCTGAAGTTGAGTGGAGCACTGACTGCTGGCTTCCCAGGAAGCCAGTATACTTTCAGTTTACTCTAAGACTGCAGTGCTTAGTCTCTTTTCACCCTTCCAGTTAGGACAGGAAGGGTGTATGTCTGGGAAATGAATCTGCAATATGTTCAGCTGCACTTACCACTGCTCCTTGAATAACTGAATCAGTAGTACCTCCATATGGAGAGGACTAATGACCTACAGAATTGATCACTATTGGAAAGGGCCAGTCTTTTTCAGATATTAGCATCTCTTCAGCATGGCTGCTTGTTCTTATAATCCTCAGTATTTTAAGGTGCACCTTAACAGCTGCAGGGAGACTTCAGTATCTCCAGGCAACGTTTAAGGCGGGGCTTCATGACAGTGAGAGTCTTATAAATTAAATGGACCTAGGACTGTTATCTCCCGTGGTAGGCAACTTCCATAGAACAGGTCATGCCTGTATAATTGAACTCTTTTTACCCTCCAAAGCAAGGTAGCCACATCTAGGTCACTTGTTGGGACTTTGGCCCATGCTAACTTGTCAGCTCTATGCTCCAGCAAGAGCTATATGGCCAGAACTACCACCATGCTGAGTCTCATGACCAGTGTGATCCAATTCCCCCAGAATTAGTGCAGGAATATTTTTGGGAAATATGTAGCTTAACAGGCTAGACAGCTGTTTTTTTTTCAAATAAATTGTTACAAATGTCCCCGACAGCCCCAGCAATAAGCAACCTATGAATCTTTAGGAGGGTGTTCCTTCTAGCCTTTATAGCAGTGTTAAATAATGAATACTGGACTCAAAAATGAACTGAAAATTTTAAGCAATGTTACAAAGAAAAAGAAACCTGCATCAGTAGCTACTGCTAAAATGTCTGTGGAGGAGGAGTTTCTCTGTACCTGCTGAACCAAGAATCCTCTGGATGTGCAATACAAATCTAAAACATGAATGTGGCATCTCCTTGATTTTGAGAGCATTGAGCTCATGCATTTGACTCTAGACTGACTCTAGCTTTTCCTGAAGTTTTCTCTGCTCTAACAGCACATAAGTCACAATCTGCTGCTAAAATGAGATGAGTGGGACTGTATTGCAAGCGTAAAGCATTGGTTCCCAGCAGTCTGGTGCCTGTTCTCTTACCAGTGGTAGGAGGAGTAGCAAACCAACCAGTCTCACTGACAGCAGAAAAGCTTCTGGTGAGATCTAAAATCAGTCATTTCATCTGTTTTGTTCACCGCAGCAACCAGCTTAGTTATGTCTTTAAAGCCTTTACCCCCAGAACTCCTTCCTTTCCTTTCCTTCCGTACCTGAGGAGCCCAGCTGACCCATCTTGGGGCTTGCCCACCTCCATGGCTGCAGCTCGGATGGGATGGGGTTCAGTGGCCACTTCCAGTGACATGCCTGCTCCACTGCTATTTCTGTGCAGTGCGGCTCCAACGGGGAGCCTCCTCTGTGTTTTTCACAACCGCCTTGGCCCGTGGCTTAGCTGTAATTTATGGACCCATGTTTCTTTTGAGCTTTTAAAAATAATTCCTATTGGAGGGGTTTATTCTGGCTCCAGCTGAAGCCAGCAGCAAGGGCTGTGGGGGTTGGTGTTAGGAGCAGAATCGGGATGCTGTTGCCTTAGGAGTGGCTTGCTTTGAGCAGGCAACTTTAATTTCCCTTCCAAATACTGAGATTCACCCCTCCACCTCCAAGTCATCTGAGACCAGCCGGCGCTTGGCTGTGCAGTGACAGGGGAGAGGAGAGGCAGGAAGCGAGGGTTTGTTCGTTTACCGTTATGAATCCCGTTGGAAACCGGCTCCAAGCCCCATGCAGAATTCCAGTAAAACTCTGTCCTAAAGGGGAAACCCAGGGCCATTCAAAGCTTGTGTTTTGTTGGCTCGGGCACAGTGTGCTTCTGGGGCCTTTGACCTCCTCCCCGTACCATGGCTCCCTCTGCGGCTCTTCGTTTGAGCTCTCTGTGAAGTGGAATCCATCACTAATGTCTGATATTTTTATTATTTGTAGGGGGAACTCTTAGAAGCTGGTAGCAATTAGGGCTTAAACGTCTTGGAATAAAAAAAAAAAAAAATCCCCAAGAAGGAAGTTTAATGCTAAGCAGATGTGCAGGAGCAGCTGAAATATGCTAGCTGTCTTCTGCTTCAGAAGCAACCTCATCCACATCTAGCTGCTGTCAGGCTGGGGCAGCTGAGAAGTGCTGCTGCTTTTATGCTGCTTCTTGGGCTGGGGAGCCCACATTGGAGACCTGTGGGGTTGTTTACCAGTTAATACGTAGATTGCCCTTTTATTCTGGTTTAGACCAGTGGCTTTGACAGGGAGAGGAAATACTTTATTTAAAAAGAAATTTTAAAAAATAATTGATAGTAGCTAACAGAATTGGCTTTTATGGTGAAGGTTGGTTCCTTGAGATCTCACGCTAAGTGTCTGTAGATACGGCTACTGCAGATCTAGGTTTAAACTCCATCCCTTCTTGGGCAGGCAGATCCAGGCTAGCCCTAAGCTTGCGTTAAGAGCAGATTATTCCCTCTGTCTCTAGCTGTTGGCTGTTTCAGCCTTTTGGTGCCATCTTGGGTTGGGGCGAACTGTTTGAAATCTTCCCCGTTGCTCCTGCAGTACGTCTGCTTTATTTATCGCTGCCATATTCAGGTTCTTCTGTCTGGAAAAAGATCTGACAGCTGACTGAAGTTCATAATCCTGTTCCTGAAGGCAGTGGAAGTCTATTCAAAAGCTAGTAGACAAGCTGCTGACAACAAGTCCTTCACACCCTTTTCCGTGCGTGCCCTGAGTCTGTAATAGAAACATGCTGTATATTCCCTCCATAAGCTAGAGCACAAGTTACTCTGCCAGATGATTTCCTGTTGTAGTCTACCAATGCAGAGCCTTTTCTTTTTGCTTAAATGGTAATCCAAAGTAAATTATTGTTATTTATCATGGTGTATTTTTTATTGTGTTGTGACAGTGCAGTGCATGGGTTTAGGAGTTAGATGGTTGGAAGACTTCAGGTTTTTCTCCAGACTGCCACTATTGAGAACTTACTGAAAAGTAAGCAAAATACCAAATCTATCTGAATTCCAGTTTTGCTCTAAGGCAATGAAAATTGTGTGCCTGATCTAAAGAAAGGATTTCAAAACCTCACCATTCCCTTAGCGCTGAGGAAATGCAGCAATGTGTTTCTTGGACCTCTGGTTTCCATTGGGAAGGTTTGAAAGCTGTTTCTTATGCTTTGTATCATGCTAGCAATTTCTCAGTTACATATGTACTAGGAATCTATTACTGATTTTTGGCTGTCTTCATGATATTCTGCAGGTCAAGACACAGTAACAAGTCAGGCCACCAGTATAGCTTGCCCCTCCAAGTGATTGAAGGGTGCATCTTCTCTGCTGTTAAACTGATGGGTTCAGAACTAGGTTCCACATTGCTGATGAGTTTTTAAAATTGCATTTTGGGATTGTTTTGTCAGAATTTAGGCAATCCTTATCCTATCATATTAAATGCCTCTCCTCATTTCTTCTTCCATGCTGTGTGAGAGTAACAGCTGCCCTTCTGCTCCCTCATCCCACGGAAGAGGAATGTTTGCTGGTTCTTATTTTGAAATGCGGGCAAACCTGCTAACTTTAAAAACATGTTTCAAAAAAAAAAAAAAAACCAAAAAAACAAAAAAACAAAACAAAACAAAAAAACAAAACAAACAAAAAAAAACCCCAAGAAACAAAACCACCACTTAACATTTGAAGATTATTCCCAGAATCCCAAACCAAGTATTTACACCTCATTTCATGGAGGGGGAGGGAAATCTTTTGACCTTGTTGGTAGCAACTCTGTTAGCTTTCTCCTCATATTCATTGGCTGAAAAATGGTATTTCTAGTTATACTTTGAAGGTACTGGATCTTGTACTGTTTTTGATGGAGCATTATTTGTCTATTGTTATTTTCCTTAATGCTATTCCAGGGTAACAAAATGCTTGTAGAAACTTGCATGGTTTTGCTAAACTCAATCTCTGCGAGTCGCCTGTCGGTCTTCTGGGGATCATTAACAGCTGCAAAGCTAAATACTTTTGCAGGTCTGAGGCTTAATGAGTCAAACTGTCTCTTGGTATGCGTTCCCTGTCCTATGGGGAATGAGCTCGGAGCATATCTTATTCCGAGATCTCAAAATCCGGTCACTACAGATCAGTTTCATAAGTTCTGCAAGTCTCTTAAAAATTAGCTGGGTAGTTCTTATGACTTGACCTTTAACTGAGTCCCCATCATGCCAACACCACTCTTAAGAAAAACTTAATGTTTCTTTCAAAGCTGTCTTGGCTAACTTTCAAACTGTCTGATATGACTGTTTTCTTGTTTCTCTAATTACTTTCTCTTTTCGTGGCTGCCCTCTTCTTGGATTTCAAGTTTGGATGTCCAGTTTGTCTGAGACTCCAAAAAAGAGTGTCGCTCCAGGTAAATTCTTGTCTCTTGGTGTTGTGCATGCTATTAAAAAGTCTGTAGTTGAAACTATGTGTGGTTTTGGAGTTGTCTTGAATGTGAGTCTCTGACAGTATATATCCAGGATCTGTCCTCTACTTGGATATTGGTTTTCCATGATGCATGCATGCATTTCTGATAAGGAAGAGCTTTGCTTTTCTGACTGCTACCTCACCCTGATGGTGCTGCTAGCAGTGGATGATAGTTTTCTATTGTATATTCCATGCCCAACTCAAAGCTACAATCAAAAGCAGCTTCCCCTTTTGTGGTGGGTTGACCCTGGCCACATCTAAGTACCTGCACAGCTGCTATTCCATGTGAGACAAAGGAGAGAAGAGGAGCAAAAGTGAGAAATCTTGTGGGTTGAGATAAAGGAAAGGAACATGGCTATGTGCTTCTTGTTCTTCTGAAACGCTCTTTTGCTTTTCCACAGTAAGTAGAAAGGGTTTTATATGCAAAACATTGGACTCTTGAGGAAAATGCAAAATTTTCATGGAGCATCAGACTCCTTGTCACAAGGAGTTGGGAAGGAGAAGGGAGCAGGGAAACAACTTCTAGGTGAGGTGTCAGGGGTCTAGGGAGAAGCAGTCCAATACATGACAAAAAACTAAGCTTTATAGTCTAAGGAATCAGGACTTCCCCTGCATAACCAGTGAATTTCTTCTGCAAACATTTGTCACCTGATGTGGAATACCAGAGAAGAGGTCTTTCCTTCAGACAACAGAAATTATCATGAGCCATAGATCCTGTGTCTGTACAGGATGCTGGCCTGGTTACCCAGATGGTTAAGGCCACTCATAGGTCTCAAGGCAAGGAAAGATGGAAACATCCCTGCTGTTTTCCATACCTGATTTGGTAAATATTCAAGTTCATGCCCTTGTTCAAAGTATATGAACAAAATCCCACCATCTTCAGTGGATGAATGCTTGCTTGTCTGAGGTTTTTAGTAAGCAAGAGTGCTGTGATTTCAGAAATGCTATCCCTGACAGAAGTTGAATATATCCCGGGGGGGGGTTCTGCCCAGTCTTAGCAGAGTAGGTCTAATTGCAGGGTAGTAGTTGGATATAAAAGCGCAGAAACATCTGAAGTATTCAGTCACAGGAGCCTCATGGTTGATAGATCACCAGGGAGTTCAAACAGAGAAACAGAATGAGACTGAGCCGGGGGTGTTGAGGAGGAGACAGAAGAGGTGGTGTTGCTTGGGAAGAATGACAAGAAGCCCGCAGATTACCTGGCTGGGGTGTGAGGTTGGGTTTCTCTGGCTCTCTACATCTGTTGAGACTATTTTATGTTGCTGTATGTAAAATGACAATTGAATGTTAAGGCTTTCATCCTTCTTGAAGGGCAAGGAAGAGAAATCTTTAATAGATACAAAGTTCTTCCCTTCTGTTGACTGCTTATAGCTAAATGCATGTTTCTAGTTTGGCTTCAAAAATACGTGCATGATGATAGAGCAAATGTGGGTGATTAATTGCATTGCATGGTGCTTGAGAAGGTGGATGTTGATACATAGTCCTGCTCAGAAGTCTTCTGGGAGGTTTTTAGCTCCCTGTGCTGTCCAGTTCACCTGGCCTTTCAGTTTTATTTCTCATCCAAATGAATCCCAGTTCCTAGCACAGCTACTCTTTGTTCCAGACCTGCCATGGACTGTATCGTAATGTGGCAGGCTGACAGAGCAGACTTGAATTTGAACATGATCTATACCCACATAGTGTATATATATATATATCTGTGCCCTAGTCTGGGTCTTGGAGACTAGAACAGACGCCACTTCGGTGCTGACCAGGCTCCAGCCAAGGGCATGAGCCCGGTCCACAAAGTGGAGACTCTAACCAAGGATTGCAAGTGATTTAATTTCCTACTTTGGAAAAAGATGGGTACCATACAGTCAGATCCTGAGAGGTGCTGTGGTGGGGTACTTGTGTTTGGGTCACCCAACTGCCAGTAAATTCCTTGGCTAGTCTGCTTCGTGCCATATGGAGTAATGCAAATGGGTTGTACCACTGAGCAGGACTAGGGTGAATGCCAGAGTATATAGGTGACTTCAGCCTCGTGGAAGACACTGTCTAGCAGCTGTGTGAAAATCTCCAAGCAGTTTAACAGATTTGTGAACAAAATACTTCACTTTTCTTAACTGTTACTACCTGTAACCTAGTTGGTTGGAATCACCATTCAGAGAGCCAATTTTCCGAGGAGGAGTGGAAAGAGGACTCAACTTTTTTTTCCTTTCACCCTCCTGCTTCTAATTTTTCTTGGCTCTGTCTTAAAACCTAGCAGATCAAAAATAAAAAATAAAAATCCTGAGACTAACAAGCTCCACTTGGCAGAGGTCAGCACTGAATTTCTCCATTTGTCAGGATTTTGTTGGAAATGTGGCTGAGGACTATAAAGAAGGAAGAAACTGAACTGGAGCACTTGCTTGAGAGAGTGCCTGCCATTTACCATGGGCCAAGCTTGTTCCTGACATGCTCTCCATGGGGGCTGTTTTGCTGCTGGTTTTAGCTGTGTGTCAGACACGTACTCCAGTGCTGGAAGCCTCAGTCTACCTTAAAGCTGTCACTTGTTCTAACTCTTGAAGGCTTATCCAGATCTTGGTTCTTAGAAGCTCTAGAATATACTACGCATGTCATATGCTGGGGAATTAATCCAGCCATCAGGTTAATTTTCTGCTGCTATGATTGCTGGTCATATTCCCTTCTTGGTGGCAATGCATGCTGTTTGCTTTGGTCCCTGTAGCTGTTTGTAGCAGCAACCCAGGGGGCCAGGAGGAGATAATACAGCTCATGGTGTTATCATCTATACCAGATTCTTACCAAAGACTAGAGTCTAGCTACTCTTCAAGGAAGCTATTGCCCCATGTATTGAAAGGCTTGCAGAGCACATGAGTGCTGTGGAGTTGCGGAAGGTGTATGTATGGATACTTTCTTATGGAAAAACTTCTTATACATTAATCACAGATGATAACCTGGGATGAGAGGGTTTGCATGCTGATCTGGCCATCACTGAGTGGATGGTGCTCAACCTTGTTTTATTCTTGGGCATTTGGGCAAGGTTTTAGGCCAGACTTCTCCAGCTTTGAGCCTCCTGAATTGCTTACATGGCCAGATCCAAACCCTTCCATTTCTGCTTTAAATCCTGTCTCTGCTGAATAGCAGGGTGTCGCCTGCTTCTTAAACTCTTTTCTGAAAAAAACAACAGAATTGCCTCTTTTGTCATAAAACAGCTACCTGGCCAAGCTTTGAAAAGAACTACAGAAATGATAGTGTATTAATAACCCATTTGATAGACTTATCCAAATATTTATTGTCGTCTGTAATGAGGCAAAGGGATTTTTGTCGGTACTGTTTTACTGCAAAGACCTGGAGACTGGACTGGACTTATATTGAATTTCTTTAGTTACTATGGGGGGTGCTGAACTTCTGTCTCTGACCCTAGAGCTTTGTGGCTCAGGACTGCCACACCAAGAGCTGTTGATATCTGAAGTTAGAGTCTGTTAGGACTGGGGCGCTTGCTGTATAGCAGAAGGGTTGGAGATGAATCCTCTTTCCTCTTGCCACAAGGGGTGAGTGGTGTTTTACCTCCAAGAATAATTGACTTGCAAATATAGCCTGAATTTTGGAAAGTGGGAAGGGGCCTCAAGAGTGGCAGGCTGGAGTGAAGGAGTGTCCAGGAAATGAGTCAAAGGCCTGGTTGTTTTGTTTAGGGCACATTAAAAACAAAAAACCAAAAGAACAAACAAAAATCCAAAACCTCCCACCAACTAGAGGATAGATCCTAGGCTTAGAAACATGGTTTTGATCTGAATCCATATTGTCCCCAAGGAGATCTGTAAGAAGCTTCATCAGTCTTATCCCACTGCTTACTCTAGAAACTGGTTATTTTAGGAACTGCTTTCGAGACCCAGGTGAGATTGTGACTTGTTGTGTAATCTTGTGTGCTTTATGTGGTAGTCTGTCTTTTAGCTTGTGTGCAATAGATACTTAACTCAATTTTTAGGCAGACCTAAGCTCTCTATCTTAAAATACATTGGGGTAGATCACTGGTGGAAGGCTCAAAGAAAAAATGCAGTTTTAACATGTTTATTTATCATAGTGATGTGGTCCTTCAGATAAGAATAAGAGGTAAAGTTTTTAGGGGAAGAAAATCCCTGTGTTTAGAGCTGGGCATATGAATGTTGTGAGGGAATAGACTGATTTAAGGATTGCAAGTAGGCTTGCTGCTATTTTGGGTATTCTTTTTTTTTTTTTCTTCATCCTTCCCCAAAAGGAGTTTTCCACAGATACATAAAGACTTACACTTGAAGAATTGGCTTTAACAAGAAACCACAGCTCTAGATCCAAGCTACCACAGTTACTCCTCCCTATGTGAAGTGTGAAGCTCTGACTTTATCGTATGAAAAGCCATGACACTCAAGGACACTTTTTGCCAGATGCCCCTGCATGCAGACCCTGCACATGTCCTCGGCAGTTGTGCCCAGGTCGGAACAGCTGAACTACATGCCAATTGACTGTTCAGTTCTGAATCATCCTTACGGCGTTCACTGACCGTTTATGTGGTTTTGGCTGCTTCTGCAAAACTTCTACTGACCAGCCCAGTACTAATTCATTTAGTCTGATTCTGTAAACACTTGATTGATAATCATAAAAGGGCAATATGAAAGCCTGTGAGCTGTATGGATTGAAGTAGTAGACATGTTTATAGCCTGATAACAACAGAGTACTCTGGCGAAAATCAGGAGTCTCAGATTTCCATATCCAGATGATTTTATTTTTGGAGTCCAGTTGGTGGTTTTCATTTTTGGCTATTGCAAAACCATCATAGGTCTTAGCTGTTGCAACACAGAAGGAGGAGGAGGAAGACGTTGCTTGGAACGGGTGCTCTGTGCTCTTATTTAGGAGGCTTTCACAGGAGTTGCTGGTCTCAGAGTTACAGCGGGAGGAATGATGTTCCCTCCTCGCTGCCTGGTGAGCGGGACAGGGTGCAACTGTGTCACTTAATAGTGCCAGCTGTGAGGGGCATGGACAAGCTCCGATGACATTTCTGCCCAGTCCCAGGAAGGGAATCGCTGAGGTGAGGAGCGGGAGGATTGTAAAGTGGAGCCCTATGGAGAGGAGGAGGGGTATCCTCAAGACTTTAACCAGGAAACGGACTCGAGGCAAAAAGAAACGGAGAGGCAAGCAAACTCTTATTTCAGCCAGTGATCTGTTGTGTGCTCTGCTCTGGGGAGGGCTTGCAAGTGGGAGCTAAACCCAAACACTAATTCTGCTTTTTTTGGGGGGAGAGGAGGGGGGAACTTTACCTGGCATATCAGCCTTACTCTCCTCTGCTCTCCGTTTCTCCTGCCTGGGCTGAAGACACTTTTTAAAAAGTGAGGCTGTAATGTCAGGGGAGCATTGTAGGGTGCATGTGAGCTTTCTGGGGAGCTCGTGCCACTCTGCATCTCTCTTCTCTGACATGCTTCATGCTGAGCAGGGTATTACTCTTCAGTGCGATGTTGTGTCCTGTGTTACAAATTAGACCTGAACTAATCGCAGGGATGCGGAAGCACCCACGGTGGTGGGTGTAATTGGTGCTGTGCTCTCTGTGGTGTTGCCTGTCTTGTTCTTTTGAATCCCCTTTGGGTGGAAAACCTGCAGTCTGACATAACATACCAGCGATGTCGTGGGCATCCTGAGGCTCATTGAGGAGTAATTCATCTAAAGATGCTTGTGGGGGAATGGAAGGCTGAGGAGGGTTAAAGTTTTTTACCCTACTGACTGTGCCTGAAGGGAATATAGTAACAACCTAAACCAGGCTACCCACAAAATGTTTAGGGCTTTTGATTACTGGGAGGAGCTGCTTCTCTGTCTTCTTTCCTTCTCTCCTTCCTCCTTTCTTTACTGTTACTGAAATCTTCCCCACTGTGCAGTGCCTGATCCTGGGTGAGCATCACTCCAGGAGCCACAGGGACCCTACCCCTTCAAAGGGGAATATCCTTTAGGCATGGTCTGCTGTAGCTGTAAATCAGTAAGTTTGACCTTGGTTACTTCCTAGACTAAGGAATTTATTACCCTACTTTTTGTCTTAATAGAAACCCTGTAACACTTACACAAGCTTCTGTTAAAACAGTCTCTTAATTGTATATGTTGCACCAGCCACTGTAGTGCCAAAGAAGTCTTCCTGCAGCGAGTACCTTACCCAAGGCAGGATAGAGTAAATGGCATCATAAAGTCCTGCTGGGTTTCGGATATGTGAGTGCAGATAAAACCTATCTTGCTGGCCTCTTGTAAACCAACTTTTTTTGGAGCCAGAGTTGCAGAGGTGGATTTGAAGTACTGTTTCTCTGGGTTTCCTGGCAAGGGCGTCCTCTGGCACACGGTCACTGGCTTGGCTGTGGTGGCTGATGGCGGGGTGTTTGCCAGCGTGTGCTCCAGCCTGGTCCCCTCCTTGTTCCCAGCAGGGACATGTGCATCACGTGAGCACTGCTCCTGCCACCAAGCCAATACTGTAGGGTTGTAAGTTTGGGTTGGTTTTTTTTTTTCCTTACTCTACTCCCATGAAAACTGCCTAGGACATTAAAGGAAAGAAGACATTCGGGGTGTCTATTTAGCAAGTAGCTTCCTGCATGTCTCCTGCTCCCTTTGCCACTGTTTGGTCTCTCCTTTTGCCTTTCCACAGACTGAATTCTCTGCTGATGCACATGCACAAACTGTCCATGACAGCTTTTGTTTATTTCTGGTGAGAGAACTGATATTTATCTTAAGAAGATTAAAACAGAGTAGGGGTTGTTACTTGCATAAATAGGTTGAAGGAAGATGATACTGCTGCCCCATTCTGGACTTGAGAAGGGACTGTGTGGGAAGCAGTGTGAAACAGTGGAAGGCATCTCATCACAATCTAAATAACCCAATTAGCACTGGTTTAAACCTGAACGTGCAAGCTAAATTCATTCAACATGAACAGAAACATGATGCTTATTTGGAATGAACAGCTATGGTGAAAATTCTTATTATAAATTTCAGTGTCGTCAGTTCATGGTCTTCTCCCCCTATTCCTGCTACTGGTTGTGGTTCAACTATGTATAGAAAAGCTAAATCTTTTAAACACAAACTTCTAGAGGAGATGACTCGTCTTTAAAGAAAATTAACCTATGTAACCTGAGGAGAGTCAGAGGCACGCTTAGGGAGCAAGTAAGTCTTCTAATTTTCTGGATTTCTTAAATCTGGTCCAAAGGGAGGCATTGTGATAGCGTTTCCTTTCAGGAAATCGTTGAATTAATTGCCTTTTGTTCTAGGATTTTCATTTCACAGGACGTTGTTTTAATGGCTGATGCATTCTTTACCTCTCTCTTGGCAGGGATGCTAATTACTTGTCTGTAGAATCACTTTGCATCTTTAGCCCAAACGCATATGAACATGATGTGTGTGGAAATAGAGCACTGAGCATCCTGTGCTTGGCTGTCAGTCCCCTGACTTGTCTGGTGGACAGTTTCAAACCATGCTGCTTCCTTCCCGTCTCTTGTAGCCAATTTGTCGTCAGAGATTCAGGAGACCTGGAGTCTGCTCCTGGCTCTGCACCCATCACATGAAATGGGACTTTCAGCAAATCATACATCTGCTTCTGTCTCCCCTTTCCATCTGTGTCTTAATCTAGAGACACAGGAACTGCCTCTTAACATGTAAAATGTATAATAATGCTGTTGGCCTAGACTGCTCTGCCATAATACATATTGCTGTAATTCAGGAAACCTGTAAAATAATTTTGCGTTAAGGCATGTTGGCTCTTAGACAGAAGTTGTAGGTGCTTTTTGCTCTGTTCTGACGCTTTGAAGAGCTTATAAATGAGGGCACATTAAGAAACCCCGATGTGCTAACGGTTTTCATGACTTTTCAAGGCAGTTTCCAGGCAGAGCACAATTGGTCTGTGCCTGGGAGTACGGAGGCCCCCATCTGCAGTGCTTATGTTGCACCGGTGAGCCGAGATGCATCTCATATGGCGGGCAGCAGTGCAAGGAGGTCTCCCTCCACACCTGGCACTGCGGCGTGCCTGCCTCACGTCTCCACCCTGACAGGCACGATTTCAGTTTGTGGGTGGAAAAGTGAGAAATCAAAAACGACAGAGAAACTCCAGGAATGTGGGGGAAGGGAGGAGAACAATTATTTTGCACTTTCTTTTGCCCCTTTTTGTGCGAGAACCTACTTTCATTCATAACTGTCTCTGACAGCCAAAAGTCCTCAATATGAAGAGAAACCAAACAACTGGGGAGGTTGGCTCCATGGGCTGCAAAAAAGCGCCGAAGGGTGATGGAGAGGGGGAAGCCGGAGCGTGCTGTGCCTCTGTCCCGCTCAGGGCTGATCTGCTGCAGGGAATGCGGAACTGTGGAGCTGGCGGGGGGCAGGCGGGGGGTGGCCGTGTTTGAGCAAGGATCTGGTGCTATAACTTTTTTTTTCTTCTTCTGTTTCAAGTAAACAGTCTTCCCCGCCCTCCCCTCTTTCCCTCCACCCCACCTCCCTCTCTTTCAATCCCGCTCATGTGTTTCTATTTAAGGGCTGCAGTGCAGACGAATATGATTGGCATCTACAGCCCCCTCTTGACTTTCAGCTCAAGCCTTTAGAGTGGAGAAGGAGCTGAACCGCCAAGGGGAGAGCTGTTTTTTTTTCCTTTGGGTTTACTGGGGGGATGGCTCAGCTGTGGATTTATGCTGCTTCTGCCCAGGATTTTTCTCTCTGATGGGAGCAAGGATTGTGGAAACCATGTTGGGAAGAGTTTTATTTTCAGAATCCATCATGAAACTTTGCAAATAATTCACTGTCTTCGGCTCCTTCTTGTATTTTTTTTTCCCTCCCCTTTTTTTCTTTTTCTTCTCTCCAATGTCCCTCTGTGCTGCTGGGTTGTGGGCCAGAGGAGGCTGTTTCTATATGGCCAGCCATTTGGGGATATGCTGCGAGCCAAGGTTGTTTGCTGATTCGCTTGGCTCTGGTGACAAGTTGGCCTGTCGTGAATCAGATGGACGGAGGTCGCTCTCAAGGAGTCATGGCTGGAAGCTGGCTTACGGCTTGCTTTTTCCCTTCCCCAGGTGCTGATGCTAACTCTGAACCCATGATCCTGGAGCAATATGTGGTGGTGTCCAACTATGAGAAGCAGGAGAACTCTGAGATCAGTCTCCAGGCTGGAGAGGTTGTGGATGTCATAGAGAAAAATGAAAGCGGTAAGACACGTTTGCTGCTTTTCCCTCTTTCAATGATCCACTTTTTGCATGTGTTCCTCTTCTTTCAGTTTCCTCGTCACTACTTGTAGCTGTACGTTAGCTCCATCTGGTACAGTTACTGTGTCTGGCTGAGGATGTTGAAGTTTCTTAATGTTGATTTGGGCTGGGGGCCAAATGTTGCCTTCTACTGTAAGAATGTTTCATAGGTTTTGTGCATTAATTAGGCAAAGTATGCTAATGGAAAATGAAGGTGAAGCAGGGAAGGATCTGCAGCTAATGAAGCTGATGTATAGTAGACTGATATAGTTGCCCTGCTGTCTCTTCAAGTCTCTGTCAGCATTTCCATTACTAACTCCCTTTTCAGAGGATTTATAGGATGAGTGTTTAAAAATTGCTTGGGACGAAACTTGGCTTGACAGCTTAGCCCGTGGCCCAGAACTCAGTAGGGAGGGGAGAGAATGTGCGTAGATAAATACGTGGCCATGCACAGTTTCAAAATTTCTTGCAGAAGTGTTAATTGGGGAATTTTGAAGCAAGGAGGCAGAGGCTGTCATGTAAAAGCAAGATGAAATCTCTTCTTCTGCCATCCATGGAACAACCAACTTCCACTTGGAAAATGAGATTTTTGGCAAGTGTTTGTATGGGTGTCTTTTGTGAACTTTAACTCTTGGATGCCTGGTAGCATTGAGTCAGACTGAACAAATGCAGGAGACTCTGTACATGTGAGTGGTTGGAGCGGGTTAGCAGCTGGTTTGAATAACTGCCTGTCTTCAGCAGCTCCCCCTCCTCCCCTCCAGCGTTCCTTGTGTATTAATCCAGAGCTGTTGTCCAGGACTGGTTTCCAGCCCACTCGTGACTTGTATGTCCTCATCTAGAGGAGCTGCTGGCATTTGGAGCCATTCAAGCAGAGGCTCATGTCGTGGTAGTTTCACATGCTGGGCTCTCATGACCAGCTGGCTCTGGAGTGTGCTGGGCACGCCAGAGCTTGGGGGAACCAGGGCGCCCCGATCTGGGACTCAAATCCATCTTCCAGGGCTCTGAGTCAGGTTATCCACAATGGTGATCATGCATTATATTTTTTTTTTCCTTCTTTTAATGGAGTGATAATTTCTCTGCTGTATGAAAGCCTAATGCTTGTTTGGCTCAAAGTGACACAGTCAGTTGCCTGGCCAGTGATTTGGTGTGGTGTCCAAAAGGATAGTGTGTGGAAATGCACTGGCTAGTGTGAACAAAAATTCCTGTCCCCTGGGTTCTGACCATGTCACTTGCAAGACTAGTAAAGGACAAAATGCTCATCTGCCCCACTTTAAAGCAATTGTTATGAGTGAAGGGGGGGAAAATGTCCTAACTTTTTAAATTGTGGCTGGGCTAGTGGACAAGTATCCTCCCTTCCAAGCCTGAGGGCTCCTCTTTGTCAATAGTGGGTGTTACTGCTGTCAGAACAAGCCTAGTTACTGTCGCAACTTATATTCATATCCATGATATCCCTGTCTTGGATAATGGTTTATGGAACCAAGGGAATTGGGCTGTTTAAATAATGCAAGAAGTGTCTGAATTCCAAATTACGGTTCCTTTGTGTTTTCTTTTAAAGTGGCCTCTCTGCCTTGCACAGTTCACATCATATTGTATTGAACCACATGGTATGTGGTGATACAAATGAAGAGTGTTAGGGCCTGAATTTAATTAGGGGGTCCAGAAATGTGACTCTTCTAAAGAAACATCCTTCAATTTGGATTACAGTTCTTAAGACCATATTCTGATGCTTAGCAGCCAGATTTCTTAATGTCCATGTAAAACAAGGAAGGAACTCTGAAGCCCTGAACTGCATCTATGATCTTGCCCTTTACATACACACATATACATATATATATATATATATATATATATATATATATGTGTGTGTGTATATGTGTGTATGTATATATATATGTGTATAAAATAAAGATATGGGGTGGTTTTAAATACACGTATCTACAAGTCACAAACTGGTGATGGAGACAGCATCATTTGCTTTGGATGCTTGTCTAAACTGTTCTGGCAGGGAAATGATGTTTTAGTTGTTCCAAGAACAGGACTCCAAACATAGTCTGTCCTAGGTTAGGGATACCACAGGTATTACTTCACTATGAATGGCATGTGATGAAATTAGCAAAAGTTTCTCAAGTCTCAGTTTTTAAGAGTCAGGAGTCATTGTTTGAGTTTGGGCATCTTGTTTAGAGTAGGCAAGCAAGCCTAGAAAGATGTGGTTATAAGTGCTAAGGACATGGTGATTACTCTTCCAGAAAACATTATTGAACTAGGCACATGTGTAGTAATTCATCTGACTGCTTATGTTGGCTTGATAAGTGTTGTGAAACTATAGCTGTAATTGTATAAATTAAGCTCATTAGTCTCCTGATCCAGACAAAGGTGATGTATGGTGTTATGGATGTCACCCGCAGCAGGGACAGTTTCTTCAATGAAAGGAAGGAAGCACGGCTAGATAGCTGTGTGGCTGAGAAGTCCCATCAGACTGGACAGTGTGCATTGGATGTGCTGCTGGGCCAGTATTTCAAACTTCCTTGTGTGTATACATGTGTATAGCATATCGTAAGTCTGGTTTGGGGTTGTGTTAGCTGTACTTTGGGGAAGGTAGATATGAAAAGGCACAGATGACTGCTTGATTTTCAAACCTTGCCTGAATAGAGTTGCTGGCTAATGCCTAGGGACACTTAAATGGTTCTCTTGTTTCCCAGAGTGGGAAAAACCTTAACTTGGTTCTGTTGCATGGCTTTGTAGGGAAGAAACACCTTCTATTTACTGGTCAAATGGCCCTATGCTTTTTACATAAGAAAGCTCAAAACTAGTTTCTGAACAATGGTGTCTGTTTCATGTCCTGCTGGATATTTTCTTCTGAACACTTGCAGGGCGTGAGCTAGAGTTACCGTCTCCTCTGATGTTTGCCTCCAAATTGTGTGCCCCCTTGAAAGGAAGGAAGCTCTGCTTTCAAGGGCCAGTGTAGAGGGCAGGAGTAGAAAGGGAAAAAAGTCTGGTGTTAGATTTATTGGAAGTTTTACCTGGTTATCATCAAGCTGCTTTTAACTTAATCTTAAGTAAATGCGTTGTATTTACTATATAGTATTATTCAGTGTTATTTTTCCCATACAAGAGATAGTATTTAAGGAGTCTTGCAGGCAGATACATGCCAGCCCATTTGGTAGGGCCTTGTCTCATTCTTAAGTTTTCTGTTTCACTAAAAGAGTTGAATAGGGTTTCCTTCGTTATTGTGCCAGTGAAAGTTGTGACTTGGACATCATTTTGAAGTTGAAGCTTCTGTTCAGTATTATAACTTGAAAGCATGGTCAGCATATGTGGTGAATAATTCCTGAAACCCTTCATCTCAGTTATGAAGCCTATGGGTCACTGTTGCTGCGATTTGCCACAGAAGCAAACCTTGCTAGACTGAAAGAAATCTGTAGGATTTCTATACTTCAGAGCAAATTATTTAATAATGTACCAGCTCTCAGACTTCAGCACTTGGTTTTTGCAGCAAATACCTATGTTGGCTCAACAAAAATTGTCCTTCAAACCTTAGTTCTGGTTACATGAGCAGAAGACCCACAGTGTGCTTGATATATATGATGGACATTTATCTCTTTCTTTTTTCATTGGCTGAGGAGGAAAATCTGCATGTAGCAATGGTCACAAATGATTCAGGAGAAGAACAGAGGTTTACAGTCTCTACAGATGGTGTCCGGGAACAGGCTATAGTTACAGCGCTTGTGTTGCTTGCTAGAAGTGACTGATTCGCTTAAAGGCACCAACCTGCACTGTCCAACACTGCCTAAACATTTCTGAGCTGTTTCAGAATAACAACGTGAATAGTTGACTCAAGGCTTGTCTGTCAAGTACACAGGCTTCTTTGAAAACTTAACCAAAAAAGACTTGCGGAATGACTTAAAAATGTATTTCTGTTGCAGAAAAGAAATGCTGTGACTTTAATGCAGGAATCTGACACAGATTTCTTTAAGGTAGAAGGGGGAGGGACTGGGACAGAGCAGCTCCCTCTCTGCCAAGTTTTGCGTGGATGTGGCTTGAAATGGTCAAGCTATAAACTGTGGCAGCAGTGTTTGCAATGGAAAACCTGACAGACAGTTAAGTATAAGCGTAGTCCCAAGCACCTCTGCCCTCACTGCTGCTCTGCAGCTGCCGGGAGCCATGTCTGCAGTGGAGGCATCGTGGGATGGCATTTTCCGCTGGGCTGAGCAGGACTGTACCCATTTATTTGCAATTACGTAACTGCAGACCAATTCCCATTATTATGTTACACACAATACGTAAAACAAAGCTACTATGGCTAGCATAACTTTACTGGGACCCAAAGGGATCTTTGGGAAGGGAGGCTGCTCTTCCCTGCTTAGCTGGGATATGGGACATGGCACTCAAATATCACCATAAGGAGGGTCTCTGCTTATCTAGGTGGCCTGGCTTGGGAGTCTTGAGACTTACTGATTCTCCACACAGTGTCAGGAGACTAGTGTGTGCGTGGCAATGCACTCTGCCACACTATTTGGTTTCACTTAGGCAGTTCACTGGCTGCAGTCATGATCTAGGAAAGGGATATAGGCTACAGCTCTCTTGAGACTGACACCTAGGGGTGCACTGGTTTCCCTATTGCAAACTCCCTCTTTCTTAGCTTGAGGGCTTTTGAGTTAGGCTTCTGCCTCTTCATGAGGAACACAGCCCCTTTTATTTGAAGGTGTTGCTTTTTAGGGTTAAGTGGTTTTACTTGGTACCAAATCAGGCCAAAATTACTTTTGTGGTTAACTACTGGATCTTGGCTAAAGGTGTACCCTTAAAGTCTTCCAGGTAGAAACAGGGAAACGTGAGGTTGTTTGTAACTCATAGATCAGTCTTTCATCCCTCTATTCCATCTGCCATGCCTGGTTTTGAAAGTAGCATTGATTTTTGGTCCCTTCTTTAGTGTTGGTGGGGGTTTTGTTTTACATTTTGTGAATGTA